ACATACATACAGGCACCTCTCTAGGCACCTCACGATTCGATTCGATTTAGATCAGAGGGCTGCGATGCGATTATAAAAAGATTATCGATGTATCTTTTTTTATATATAGCATTTATATTTTCTCACTGTGTGAGCTCAAGTTTCGAGTTCAAGTTTCAAGTTTATTTGTCATTTGCACAACATGTCAGGACATTTATGCATTGAATGTGTGAGGCTCAGGTAATCACTCTACAGAAAGTAAATAAGCAAAAATAAAAATACAAGAAAAACCAACGGAAATGTATTAAATATACACAAAATATACACAGAATATAGAGACAATATACATTTTAAACTGACTAAGTGACTCGGTGTTACTGTTATTTAAAGAGACTTGGTACTTTTAAAGCAAAGTATTTGTCATGATCCATAATGAATTTACTTCCAATATCTTTTTTAATAAAACAAATGGAAGTGATGAAGCAAGTGAACTAGAAGGCTCTCATTCAGTGCTCTTGTTTGGAGCACGAGAAGCTGCTGCTACTCATCTGCGATAAAATGCGCAGTTAGGGTGAAATAAGATCCAGTGGTGATGGATGTCCACGCAGCACATTAGAGCTATTTTCTTTAGTGATTTTATAACTTTGGTTTTGGTCTCGTTGTAGAGACGGGGGGGATCGCTGTGTCAGTAAAATATCTCCGAGATGGGACGTGTGCAACATAGCGCGAAAGCCCTGTTTCGCAACGACTGAGAACCGGCTACAGAGTGCAGGTCACATAGCAGCGATGCGTTATTCGCATTTATAAGCACTGCAGTTGGTTTCCTGGTACGTTAAATCTGCAACGAGAGACTGTCAAACACTAAAAAGGGGTTGTCGCTTCTCTTTCGAATTCTCCCGTTCCACCTTAAATGGTGCCGCATTTACATTCGGCGCCTCAGGCAGAATTTAAGGTGCAACGGGAAAATTCGAACAAGACGCTGGAGGATAAGAAGCGACTTCAGCCTCGTAAAACAGTCGAACATTGAGAGACATTTAACTGATCTACTTCTGAGGAAAACTTTTCTGGTGGAGATGGGAGGAAAGCGGCTATAGCTGAGCTAAAGCTTAAAGCAGAGCAAAGTAAATCAGCGTTTTCGTTTATATTGTTTAGCCTATACTAGGACATTAACACATACTGAGACATACTGGACATTAAATGTTGTGGCTCCCAAGGTGGTTTGATTTTTGTTGAAAGGTCAAAATGTCTCTTCTTATCATTTGTGTTGTGACTCCTGATCTAACCTAGCTTTTAACACAGAAGGAGCCGGTCGGATTTCTCGCTCATCCAGTTGTGTTTTTGTTATGTGCCGCCACAGACTGTCCGGGCGCTGCACTACAACAACATCCAGCTTGGCATAGCCTTTTAAAATGGACACTCAGCATTATGCAGTAATTTGAGGGCGGAGCAAGGATAGATCAGTTTCTGCCTTTGCCAAATCTGTACGCGATCTGAGTGAACCACTATCACCAGTGTTCACACGGTTACATATCAAAACAAACACAGTAGATTTGCTATGTTATCAGCTGTGATATTCGAATAATAAACATATACAACATGTCCCACAGTTAGACTGTTTGGAGAAAACAGACTTCTTGCTTTACTTTAAAACAGGATTATTGCTCTTAGGGGGTATCTGTGACCTCTAATATCCCCAACTTTACATTTATCCTCCATCTTTGGAGTATAGGCATTATAGAAGGGTGCTTTCTGCTCGAGCACCTGAGCCTGCGGATTCCACTGCTGAAGAGCATGAGCTAAAGGCAGACATTTTACAGTCTTAAATAAGACTCCCCACTGATATGTGTGTGATAACACCTCTTCCTCTCTCTCACATACAGACACACATATGCAGCTGGACAGAAAGTACAATACAGAACAGGATTACAATTTATGGCATGTGCAAACAACATCAAATACAAAAGGATAGATGATCTGGAAGTTACTGAAATGACGTACAATAAGTTGGAGCTGTCAATATCAAATATATATTAGTAATTTACCAATTATTTTAACAACTAATCAAGTATTCAGAAGTTTTAAGGCCAAACAATGACCTAACTGGACGATAATAAATCAGCTTTAAAAACTATAAATACTATCAAAAAATATAAATGGGAGTGTCCATCAGGGTCTTCTTTACTGCAAGAGAGACCAGTAGAAGAATTTAAAATATGCTTCATAATTATGCAAATTCTCACTGCCAATGTATCAAGATAGTATTTTTTAGTCTTTTTTTATCACAGATGATCCAAAAAATGTTTGATAAATGATAAATGATTCATATGTTAATAGGACGGAAATAAAGCTAAGTGTTTGAACCTTGTGCTCTCCACATATCGCGTTCTCTTGACTAAAATGAAGTGTCCTTCATTCAACATCTAATGTAAACATTAACATTATCCCTCTGAGAGCGGTCCCTTTGTTTCAGCAAATAAAATGTAAATCCTCATCCTCCTGCCTGACCACGCAATCTGCTCCACCACTATTTTTATCGTAGCACAGGGGACAGTAAAACGTATGGATCATCATTTAAGCAAAGGCTCCATCAGCACGTGCGAGTGCAGCACGCAATTACAGTCTCAATTGCACCTCCGACCAGTTGCAATGTAATTAACCCCCCCCCACAACATTTCTGAAGGAGAGCATGGAGGTACCATTTTTTTTCTTTTCGTAGGGGGTGGGGGGAGGAAAAAGACATCCATCCATCATAAAAACGTTATGCCGCAGCCAATTTCCACAAAGCTGCTAAGCTGATTGAGGCCGACCAAATCTGTTTCACCAGCTTACATCCCTTCAAAATGGTCATCTCACTTCCCATATCACGGGCTTTTACTGTTTCCTATTCCCCTGTTCTCGCCCGAGAGTTGGGAGTTGGCAGGCTTAGGAGGATAAAACACTCCAGCCGGCTCCCCTGCGCCGGCCCTGATATCTCTGTGGCACAGAGCGTTCCATATACACACGCACGAACACATCTATTTATTTGCCCATTCCATTATTCGCCCTATTTGTGTTTTTATTTTCCTGTCAAATGCTGGCCAATCAAAAACCACATCACATACGCATAGAGGGACACACATGTGCTAGCATACAGAGTGATCCCTCACACACTGCACACCCCTCACCAAACAAACACTATCCCCCACCTCCAACTGAAGTAGATTAAATTCACACTAGTCCTCATTTTAAACGGAAATTGGAATGATAGAAGAGAGATTAGGGAGAGGGGGCAAGGTGCTGGCAGCAGGGGGAAGGAGACTGAGGAGGTGGTTTCAACAAAGCCGCTCCAAAAGCTAATAATGTAAATGTTTCTCTTTTGCCACCTGTAGTGTATGTACTGTGTGTGTGTGTGTGTGCTTTCTCTCCCCTTGCTGTTCTTTCTCTGTTTTGCCACAGCAGCAAATATCCTGTTGGCGCAGGATGCAGAAGCGTATCTGGCCCTAAAATCGATCAGGCTCCCGGCGAAGGGCTCCCATTCATCTCTCGCCCATAAAATTTGATTAGCGCTGACTACAGCACTGCAGGGAGATGGGCCGATATAGAGCCAGGCTACAGGAGACAGCTACAGCATCCTGCATTTTCATCTACTCCCTTTTTCTCTCTCTCTCTGCCTCCATCCTTTTCCATACACTTCTGCTGTGTGGAAGGCATGTATATAGGACCACCCAGCAGACCTCTCCTTGATCTAATTCTGTGTGTGCTTTTGCCATTAAACAGAAATGGCAGAGCTGATGAGGCTCCAATTGGTGCTAATAAAAGCAAACGAAAAACCTCCATTCATAGCCCAGCCCAGCCCAGCCCAGCCCTGCCCCTGACCGCCCGGACCCAGCGACCAGCCGTCGGCCACGCCCTCTATCCCCACATTATCTCTGTGGCATGTGACCATGGCTCCCTACCAATCGCAGCTCCCCAAGCCAGTAGTATTATCGCCAGTCCGCACAGTGACAAGGAAACGAGGGAAGGAGAGAAAATAGAGCGAGACAGTCCTAGAGCTCTGCAACAAGGCAAAAGATTGTCAATCCGATTGCTGAGCTGGACTCTGAACCGGTCAGATGCAAAAAGGGTGCTGCCACTTCCTATCGGTAACTGAAACAAGAAGAACATGTGCTGATATTTCGAACCAGCCAAAAGAAGGACATACAGTGTATCACACCTCTTCTGAAGAACCAAATACTATTCTGGCAGAATAATAAACGTATGTGAATATCATTAAGCCGTACTGACTCACTATCTGTATCTAATTCATATACCAAGACGTTTGCTTAAACCAATAAAAGTCTCAAACAGCCGCTTGAACGATTTCCATTCTATGGAATGTGATTTACTTCATTCATGTCAATACACATGATTTATGATTTATTTGCAATATCGATTCAAGCTCAAGCTTGAGACGCCTTGAGATACTGCTTAAAACTTCAGGCAGAATATCTTTTGAGAATTCATGTCAGCATTTGGGCATATAATGAATTTTATTAGATGGCAAACTGTCTGCCTTCGGGACCATGGGGACAGAGAGCAGGTCATACTATTGCAGAGGTTTGAGAATCTTTTGTCATATCATCAATATGATAATAACAAGCTGAAATAATGAGCAGGCATCATCTGTTGTGTCGTTCAATCTCGCGTGACATTCAAAACTTTCTGACAGTTCCAGCAAAAGTTGCAGAGCTTATTGAAACATGTCAGTTTGAGTTGGAGGGAAACTGTCAACAAAGTGGTTTAGTAATTGCCTAAGCCAAAGTGTCATGTTGTTTTTTGCTTGATGCGCGAGCTGCATTTCAAGGTCAGGATTAATACTTTTCAGAGGAAGTGCAGTTCTTCGATCCAGCTCGCATACGGCGTGGTTTACAATCAACAATGTCAAACTGTGATTGTTTAGTTGAAAAGTCTTTCAGGATCTGATTTAATTAAATTACTCTTAATGACTTAACTCAAATAGGAGCGTAGTTAATGGGGGTGAGTGTGTCTACTTCAAGACCTACCTGTGTCTCCCGGACATGCTCGACAGTAAAGTTAAACCACACTCTGAAGCGAGGATTGCATGTGTCGGGCCGGATGAAGAGGTCAAACTCGAACTCGCTGATGTAGTCTACACGGCCCAGATTACCTGGAGAGTAAGAGGGAGGCACAAAAAGAGAGACGGACAGTTGCCTTCTTTGCTTAAAATTGGAAATAGCTACAGCTGTACCTCAAGAACCCAGTTTCTTTGCCCACACTCAGTTCAAGCACAAATCATCCAGTAGCATTAAGACACTAATGTAACAATCAGTAGTTTTCCTTCATAGATTATGTTGACATAGACAGGAATAAGTGGGAAAGGTTAAGGAATTTATAATACAGTTAGCATTTATTAGATTTTGTTTTGTGCAAGATATGAATGTATATGTATTTTTCTGACATGCATGCATGTATGGCAAGCTAACCCTGTCTGCCACTGAAAGCTGCATCTCCTTGCAGGCTCCCACACACACATACAAACACACAAGCTGAATGGGATGGATGAAGGCAGCAGAGAATTTTGGCGGCCGCTAAGGTGACAACTGAGACAGCTTTAGCAGCAGATCAAAAAATAGCATGAGTCTCAACATGGCAACCATAAACAAATAAACAAAAACAAATCACAAAAAAACTATTTTATCAGTACAGTGAGTATTCTGCAATGTAGGCTCTACAAAAATGTCAAATGTCAAGAAATAAAAGTTCACACACTATAAAAGCAGGAACAGTGCAAAGTAAGGCACTTTGGCTCCTTTTCCAACAGGTCGGGCAAAAGACCAAATGCCAAAACTGTTAAAAGCCTCATGTATATCCCAAAGGTTACCGCAAGGCAAACTCACAAACATCTTGCAGAGGGTTTAAGTAAATAAAGTAAATTCAGTTCTTTGAGTGCAAGTGCTATAATACATCCATATTTAAGACAGCAAATGGAAAACAAACATAAAACTACACATGTACAGTACTGTGCAAGTTTTTAGGCACCTGAGAAAATTATATTCAAAAAGTTATTTAAATGGGTAGTTAGCATTTATTAACACTAATACTGATACTAAATACATAATAATTTTTAAAAATACAAATAAATACAATTAATATTAATGTAATAAGCAGTGACTTTATGTATGTCAATGTGTTAGCTTAACATTTTCTAAACCTCCCTTTGAGGAAGAACAGTACTGATTATAGTCACAATCCAATACCTGATTGGCTAATCAATCTTTCATTACATTAAAATAGGTCTGCTGATGATGGAATCCATGCAATATGTGAGGGCAAGAAAGAGAACAAAACTTTGTTCTGATTACCTCATGACATGATCATCAATTACTTTATGAAAGCAAGAAATTCATGCTACTTTTTACTGTGTTAATATTTGTTTAAATTTATTCTAATGTTATCCTTTTTGTACAGGAGAAATAAACAAGTGTACAGAGCATTTATGATGACTTCTTAGTTGTGCCTAATAGTTAGCCAATGTAGCTAGTCCCATGACAAAAAAGCTTAAAAGCTGCAGACTGCTGACTTATGTTGATGGTTGTTTAAACTATGCATATAAATTTAAAACTAGCTCCAGCCAGGCCATAATTTTTTGCTATTGTGGGTGTATAATATGTGTTAAAATATAAATAAGTAGGTTACATCACATTACTGTCATAAATGTTGTGTTTGGCTGTGTTTTTTCATTCAATAAAGCTTTTTTTCATATACAACACAGTGCTGTCTTTGATGTTTTTATAGGTCTTGTCCATAATTTTAGGTTTGCCAGTTAAATATTAATCACTGACTAATAACAATCAGTTTTCGGTCAGAAGAATGTTCTAAAATTGGTTTGAATCTTAATCTGGGTCGAACATTGAAGTTGAAAATATATGTATCATTACACTCGTAATGGATAGATGGTCAGTCCTATGGACAGGTGATCCATATGGGAGGGGGGAAAAGTGCTGTCCACGTCTTGGGGACAGAGTGTTGAAGACACCACCTGGTGGCAGGTAGCTCAGAGCTAATTACTGACAGATGGGGCAACCACCACACAGTCAGAACCGAGACAAGCACAGCTCTGGCCTTCTGTCAGCCAACAGCCGCTTAGCCACTAGCCACACACACACTTACTGCACATCCCCAAACTCTTCACACACAGACTGACTCTCTACTCCAACCATTACTCTTTCTCTCACACACACACACACACACACCAAACCTACAAAAACTCCCACAAAAAGTCTTCACACACCCACACTGACTGGCACACAATCTATCCCTCATATTTTTCTGAACCTGTTATTTGTATACATGTAGAAGAAAACTCAGGAGGATGGAAATGCAGCCCAATATGCAACATGGAGGACACTTAACACTGAATCACTGCAAAAACACATTTATATCAGTCAAAATGGGTGACTTTGTGTAGGACAATCTATGCATTTATGTAAATCAGCACTAGTGTTCCATTAAGTTTGTACGATAGAGCAGGAAAATGCTCTTCAGGTGAAATGAATATTGGCACTTTATGCAATCAGAGTATGCATTTCAGCTGAAACCAGTGCTAAAGCACAGTGAACATGAACAGAACTGACTGTGAAAGGAGTGGCTGGCAGAGAAGTCTATAGATTATCAGACAGCTATGACAAAGGTCAATGAATGACCTTTTAAACATATCCAAATGAAATGGATACGCTCCTGTGTAACTCAAACATGACACATGGCTGAACGAAATTGAATTAAGTCTGGAACATAATATGCCTGGATCGATACATTCAGAGCAGTGTGGTAAGTGAATTGAGTGTGTGTTTGTGTGTGTGTGTGTGTGTGTGTGTGTGTGTGAGAGAGTGAGAGAGAGAGTGTGTGTGCATGCATGTGTGTTCTGGTGTAGGGCTTAAACTGAGGTATCTAGATTAATGAAATCGGTTGCAGAGCCTAAAACCTCCAGGGCAAGTTCTGCAGGAGCAAGATGTATTGCTATTCTACATTCCTCTTCATATCTAAATATGAATGACAGACTGTAACTCGCAGCACCAAGAACACCTCCCTGCGGCCAAGCAGAGGCGAGCAAAACACACTTCACACCAAAAGGAACATCTGTTTTACTACTCTCACATGTAATTTTTATACAATTCTGAGCCATGCGCATCAACGGGCCAATAGCTGAGCCAGTCACTGCAAGAAGGAGAGGCACAGAATGAGAGAAAGGAACATAAAGAGGGGGAGAGAGAAGGACAGATGAAGGACAGGAATAAGGAGAGAAAAAGCGAAAATGAAATGTAAAAGAGAGCAAGAGAAAAAGAAAGATCGCAAAAGAGGGGAATGCAAGAGAGAGAGAAAGAGAGAGTAAGAGAGAAAGAAAGATTCATAATCAGAGAAGATGAAGTCCTCTGTAGGAGCAATGAGAGGAAACATAGCCAGCTGTGGACGCAGCGCTAGAAAGCGGTGGACTGGTGGCCACAGCTGTTCCACACAGATGTGCCTTGTAATCCATCACTTTCCATTCCAGCACATTAACCATTTAAACTGCTTATGGAATCAGATAACGGCTAACCGCACCCAGTGACCAACAAAGTGCAGTTTCAGTAGAGAGATGATATACTAAATCTTGTTTACAAAAACAAAATATCTCACATTTCTACTACAGATGGCTAGATTTAGAAATGGTTGACGAAAGTATATAAATGTCTACACGGCACTTCTTCTAAGCCATATTAAGCCTATTACTGAACAAGTGGGCAGTCTAAGGAAAAGAAAAAAAATGCACTAGAAATCTTTCAAAATCTCAAGTTAGGCTTAATGTGGGTTCAAGAGGCTAACCCATGTAGAGTCAATCTATTCAGACTAGCAGTATGGAAATCAGGTCTTTGATCTACATTAAAGATCTGTCTCTAAAGAGAAAAACTGTCTCGGATAACGAGAGAGGTTCTGCTGCATTTTAAATACACCTCGTCTTTGCTCAGTACTAATCTAAAGTTGGAGGGATGTGTGCTACCCAGAGGGATTACACTGAATCAGGTAAAGCATCCCTTGCGGCATGATCGAGAAGTGGAACTGTTAATGGAACTACAGTAAATCTTCCCACTTACACCTGCCCTCAGGACGGCAAAAACCCATTAAAGCATGCTGTACATCCCCTCTGCACAGACGGATCACAGTCGTTTGACTTTTCAGGACCACAGACAGTGCCTGCTACAGTAAGTTGCTGTCCGTGGTACTGTATCTCATGGACTATGCAGAGACAGTTTCAGGGAAAGTTGCATTTTTTGGGCGGGGGAAGAGGCATAGAGGCCTCGCGGCTACACATCTAGCTCAGCTTGAGAGGAGTAGATACGGATACACCATTGATTTCAGTTTTAATTTTATGGTGCCTGACTCCAGAGTCAGTCTATGATGAGCTGTAATCAACGCTGCATCGCTCACTGCTTAAGCAAAATAGATAGCGTGGGAGAAAAGAGGTCCAGTCTTCATAACATGGAGGGAAAAAACGCCATTTTGTTAGACAGTTCACTGACAGTACAGATAACTCAATGCATAATAAGAAGAGAAAAAATCAATGACTGTATTTTAACCTGTGGCTTAGGAGGCTGCATATGTAGGGAAGCAGTTGCATGAGTGTATGAAGAGAAGGGAAAAAAGAAAAAGAGACCAAAGCAAGCAAGAGAGAGACAAACTCTCTTCCAAACTATAATTCTACTCCTCTCGAGACTCCTATCTACATACTTCCTCAAAGGAGTCTTCACCGGTTACATGCCATATTAATCATCAAGCATTAGGAGAAAACACATGCAGTGCTAAGGATTTAACAAATTGGGTTTTCAACAAATAAGTGTTAGAGCTTAGCCCAGTGGAGGGCTGCACGGGCTTCTGTGGGAATAGACGCTGTTGTTTTTCCTGCCTGTTTTCACTTTACAGAATTACGCCGCATAGAGACTTTGGGCCAGAAATACTTTCTCATTTGCAAGAAGTTAATTCTGCCCTCTATCAGCAAGCCTGAATAAAAAATTCAATATGGAGGAAAGAGTGGGAGGCTTGATCATCTGAGATATTATGTGTGCGAGTGCGTGCGTGCATGTGTACTCTCATGTGGTTAACCCTATTATGTAAAAGAGGGTGGTAAACACAGCG